CATGAATGTGTTTTTAACCTTGACTTGACTCTGAACACTGATGACGTATTTTGTTTGACTCAGTGTTACGGTCAGTGCCATTACCTCATCTTTTATGACCAGTGTGTCACAATGTTTTAGTCACCAATAATATTTCACAGCACAGTGTGGTCACTGACTTGACCAATAACCTATTTTGGAACAATAGTAATGATTTGCTTAAAAGTATTAAACAAATTAATACTTCGGCAAATGCTGTGAAATTGTTTTCCTCCTATCCACTACTGCAGGATTAACACTATGAAGTCTGTTCATACGGACCATGATTACTTGCTGCTGCAAGGGAAATTTTCTTTTAAAGGTTATTTAGATTCTCTGATCAAGGACTCACTGATGAACAAAAGCTCAGTTTCTTAAACATTCCCAGAAGCCTTTAAAACCTCACTGGTATCAGTTAGTTATTTACAGTTCTGCAGTGTATGTGTATTCTCTTTGAACCTATGTGTGTATTTATGTCTAATTGCATCTGTTTTATTTGTATGCAATATGCATTGTTATCATCCACTTCATAATGGTGTGTTTAAAATAATCGACTAATACTCATTGCGACTTGCAAGAGTATTGTCAGATAATGATAGTAATAATAATAATACATTTGTGAGGCTTATAATGATCAGCATTTGTGCAGTCTGTGTCAGAGGTGTATTTTGAGGCTGTTGTACTTGTTGTACTCTACCTCCTGCATTCCAGTGAACTTCCAGTGAAAGAAATGAACTTTTTAGTATATGAAGTGTAAAATCTTAAAACAGACGAACAGAGAGGAGATTAGAATTAAATACTAATCGTGTTCCTGTTTTGGTTGCATCTGTACCACGTCTTTTAAATATTCACTCTTCATGGTGTGAAACAATCAGTAGTCCGGCCACTTCTCAGCTGGCTCTGTGAATTCATTATTTGTCACTGGCACCAGAGGTCGTGACATTGAATCTAGGGTGGTGCTGAAGGAAGATAACAAAACTCAAGCAGTGCTGCTTGCTGTAATTTAGACAAATATGTTGTGTCTGATATGTCAAGGTATGGTTCAGACAGTGTTGCTTGTTCAGAGGGACCTAAATTTATGCACCTTAAGAGTTTCTTCTATTTTCTTTCAGGGCAATAAACTGCCACTGTGGGCTATCACTTTTAAACTGTGGTGTCTCAGTCATCCATGTATACAAGATGGATGGTCAGTGCGTGTCCACTTACGGGCTTGCATGCAAATTACAGGTTTTGCCTGCCCAATCACATTCTTGTATGCAAATTGGTTTTCTCCATCGTAGAAGCACTTGCTATAATCACATGCTTTCAATGCATATGAAGTTCAAGTTAAGTTCATTCAAGCTCATTAGTTTAGCCGTAATTTTCAGGAAAACAAGATAGAGATGAGTCTGCTCATGTTGAAGTCACAGAATGACTGAGCCATAGACTTCAGCACAGGGAGGACTGGACGGTTTTGTTGCTGTTCATTCTGTTAATTGCAATGTTCAAATAGTTTGTTCTTCTCAATACGTTTCCCTCTCTGCTTGCATTATAACAGGCTGGCATTGCTAATGTATTTATTTCTATCATTTGTACAGTGGTGTATAAATGATACCTGATCCGTTGCCTGCCTTGTTTTATCTAACATACATTTTATCTAACATTTTATATAACACATGACTACTGAGCAAGCATTGAAGAGTCTAGTATATTTGAGGATCTACATCAAAAAGAACCACCGAAGACCTGCCTTTGATATGCAACTGCTCTTTTTACCACTTCAAACAGAATGCTGTGATGCAGGGTGAGGACAGGAGCCAAATGGCAATGTTTATGGATTATTCACTAAAAGTTGTTTTTAATTATGAACACATGAAACTGCTCACTGCTGCCTGTCACAAGCAATTGTGTCATGGCCATGGCGACATGTATTGAATCTGAAGGTGCCTATCAGTAAACATCTATAGCAAACAAGAAATTTGCACCATCCAATCTCAGCAGAAAAACATTTTATAAAATAACAGGCCTAGTAACATCATACAAGTACACTATCATTTGATAATTTATAAACTGTCCTTCCTTTGTGTTGAATATAAACCTGAAACACAATAGAATAAATCTAAATGTAAAAAGGAAGCCACACTTTATCCATTCATCTATTTGTAAATTTTAAATGTAAGGAATCCATTCTAATTTTTATAAAACTGTAGGTATTGATATTATAGAGTGTACATACTGTATTTTTTATTATTATTAACTATTAACTATGTGGGAGATATAACCTATTTAAGACCAGATAGTACCCAAAGTGTAGGGAATCAAAAGTAATTGGAGATGTATGTATTCAGTTAAACAAAATCATCATTTAACATTTTTCAGAAAATCCTTTGCAGCCAATGACTGCCTGAAGTTTCCACCCACAGATATGGCCAGATGCTTTGTGTCTTCCCTAGTGATGCCGCAGCCACTTTCAACTGCTGCTTATTGTGGGGTTTCTCTGCCTTTAATCAGGTCTTAACCAAGTGGATTACAGCTCAGTTGGACTGAAATCATGTGACTGACTCTGCCAGTTGAGAATATCCTACCTCTTCCCCCTGAAAAACTCTTTGGTTGCTTTGGCTGTATGTTTAGGGTCACTGTCCTGCTGAATGATAACATTTTGTCCAATGAGTTCTGGTTCATTTGACTGAATATGAGCACAGAATACTCTTGTATACCTCTGTGTTCATCCTGTTGCTTCCATCAAGCAGTGAAATAAATGTACTGCCATACACACCCGATTCATAACCAACACCATTTTTGACAGATGAGGTGGTGGCTTTAGGTCATGAGCTGCTCCTTTTTTTCTTCCACACATTCCTCTTTCCATCATTTTGATGTAGATTGATTTTTGCTTTACCATTCCATAGAACTTTTTTCCCTCAACTTCTTTTTGCACAGATTTGCAAACTGCAACCTGGTTTTTATGTTTTTGAGGCTTACCAGGGGATTGTATCTTGTGGTGAACCATCTGAGGTTATGGTCATGACGTCTTCTCTTGATCATTGACAAGGAAACATGTTTGCCTACATCTTAGAGGGCATTCTTGACTTGCTATGCAGTCATAAAGGGACAAGATTTGTACTCTTCAGTTTAGCAGGTCATTTGCTTTTTTTTCTGTGAGCACCTCCTTATTAAGAGTGTATCCAACTGTTGATTTAAGATAGATTTTTGCTTTTATTTGGCCTCATTTTTGTTTTCCTCATTTGTGTGGTCACTTCTTGGACAGACAACTCAACCCAAATCTAAACGGCAACTTTCAACTCTCAAAAGCTCTGAGCCACATATGATTTTTTTCTGTGCATTAACAAATAGTGAAATGGCACACAGCTCCCAAATAAACCTTTAGTAGTCAAGTGTCATATCATATCATGTGTTAAAATGGCAATATCTCCCACACAGGTCTTTAAATATTAATGTAAACTTATTCAAATTAAAGCTGAGACTTGACACTGTTATATTGTGTCCGTTGTTTTATTTCAAATTGAATGTGCTGAAGCACAGAGCCTGAAAAACAAAAACTGTGTAACTGTCCAAACATTTCTGGACTTCTGGACAATCTGGACTGAGTATAATAGATTCTCCCTCCATGGTACTGAAGCATTCAACTCTGACTCTCTCCATTGTGCTGAAAAATTATACTCCAGTCTCTCTATCTCTCTCTGTGGTGCTGAAACATTCAACTACAGTTACTCATGTGTCTTAGTATGGTGCTAAAGAATTCAATCCATTGCCTGGAATCATTCCCTATTTATTATGCAGTGCCATTTTTTTTGAGTGTCCAAATCTTGAGTGTAAAAATTATGCATTGTACAATGCCCTCAAAGTTCTCCTCAGCAGATTGAAAATGTAGCATTCATGGCATCTAGATAAAAAATCAATGTATCACATTTAAGCAGATCCAAAAATCATACTTGTGGGAATGATTGTTCAAAGTGAGGATGATGATTTTAAGTCTCACTTTAGAGTACATTACAGCATAAACTACTGACTGATTATTATATTTGGAGTTGAGAATGAGTGAACAAGAGAGTGATTTCAGACACAGCCTCTGTCATTCAACGACAGTCTCTGTCTCTATCTATGGTGCTGAAACACTCAACTACAGTCTCTCTGTCTCTGTCCATGGTGCTAAAACATTCAACTACAGCGTCTTTGTCTCTATCCATGGTGCTTAAGCACTGCATCAGAACTACAACTCCTATGGGCAACCATAAGTGGAGGCCACTTAATGAATGACGACATCATGAAACAAAGTTGTAATTATATAAAATAAGACTATATAGGAGACTTACATAAACTCTTAAAATGTCCTTAGAGCGGTATGTGTTCTAAAACATCTATTAAATGTTCATATACTGCTTATAAATGCTAAATAGGGGGACCTAAAGTAAAGTGTTACCATTTCAGACTTCCTTACCATGTATTGTATCAAGATTTGGCTACGCAGATAATACTGGGATCAAATCATTATTGGTTTGGGTCTTTAAAAAGGAATTAATGACAACTAGAAAATGCAAAATATCACCAGACTTAAACATCAATGACTTTTTCAGACTTTTTAATGGGAATCTGTGTGCTTCTACAATATTTGCAACAAGAAAAATAATTTTAAGCTGCTCTTATTCCATCAATTTTCATTCTTCAAACACAGAATATATTAAAACATTCAGCAGTATTTCCCTTTTCTCAAAAAATAAACATCTACGAAAAAAGGGATTATACTTTTGGAGCTATGAGCCAGAGTAACTGTCTGAAATACTAAACACATTTATAAGCCTCAAACTACTTTTGACTTATACTATAAACAGTGCATGCACACCTTTTTCAAATCAACAGGTTCAGCTGTGCCAGTTGTTGCTCAGTGTGAAAGTGATAAATCTGTATCTAACACGTGTGATGCTCTATATTTCTATCCTTCCTCTCCACTCTTAACTCAGTAATTTCTCTCCTCCTTCCAACAGAGATCCGTGAGGCTTTCAAAGTATTTGACCGAGATGGGAATGGCTTTATCTCAAAGCAGGAGCTGGGGATGGCCATGCGCTCTCTGGGCTACATGCCCAATGAGGTGGAGCTGGAGGTCATCATCCAAAGACTTGACATGGATGGTACGTTTTTCTCTCTCTCTCTCTCTCTCTCTCTCTCACTCTGGGTCAGAAAGTTTACGAGTGCACAGGCTGCTGCATATAATCCAGCACACGAGCTATGCAGTGACATGATTGTATGTTTGTCTGTTTCATCAGGGGATGGTCAGGTCGGCTTTGAAGAATTTGTCACCTTGCTTGGTCCTAAATTGTCTGCTGCAGGAATGCCTGATAAGTTCAATGGAGCAGACTTTGATTCAGTGTTTTGGAAGGTATATGTTGTCATCTGTATGATCAATCAAAGCTAATCATGTCTACGCCTTCTCCTTTACCAGTGTTTAATCAAGTCTCTTTCTTCTTTTGAGTAAGTGTCCCTGAGGGCTTTTCTGTTGTTTTTGATATACAGCCATCTGTTTCAATTAATACTGCAAAGTCAAAATTACTGAAGTAAAGCATTTTTATCACCTTATGCATTTTATTTTAAGTTGCTTCTCTGACTTTTGATAGACTACACCATGTTAATGATTACGTCACACGCAGTAACTCCCTGCCTTGCATTTAGTTGCGTTATCAAATAATTTATTTCACTGTCTGATTTTAATGAAAATGCATGCTGAATGCTCTCACTCTCTAACTAGCATTCATTGCCAGGAGGGACCTAGTATAACCAATATTTACTGCTGACCTGCAGCTTATGTGCGTCATTGAGGGGCGTTGAGACTGAAGTTTTTCCTCTGCTAATTAGACCTTACTTGTTGTTTTCTGCCTTCCCAGTGCGATATGCAGAAACTGACTGTGGATGAGCTTAAGAGACTGCTTTATGATACCTTCCGTGACCACCTCACTATGAAAGACATTGAGAACATCATCATGACTGAGGAGAGCCACCTGAACAGTCCAGAGTCCCATGTGGACATTGACAGTATGTCTCATTAACAGATTTTATCTCACACATTGTCATTCAGAGATATTTAAATCTAAGACACTCAGATGAGCTAATATGTTCTCCATTTTTTTCCACAGCAAGCCCAACACAACAGGAAAAACACACATGTGTGCGAAAAAGCCTGATTTGTGCCTTCGCCATTGCATTTATCATCAGTGTTATGCTCATTGCAGCAAATCAAATGCTCCGCAGAGGAATGAAGTAAATACATGTTTCCATCTGATTGCAGCGAGATTTAAGGATGGACACTGAAAAAGCAAACGTTAACCCAAATACTTTACTGCTTTTTGGTTTTGTTCAATGTTTTCAACAACCACAACGATGCGATCACAGCTTCTCTCTCTAATGGATTAATTGATGTCATGCAGTGGTTCTGTATAACCACTAACCACAGCATACAATGGTAAAACCGAAATAATGAAAGAAAGACATTTCAAGGGCTGATTAGTACCCTAAAACAGTAGTTTCAGAAATTTCTGCTATTTTCTAATAAATTAGATAGAAAAACAGACTTCAGTAATTCAGTGTGCAGTGTGTGCTGTAGTGATAGCTGTGCTGTGTCTAATATATCAAAACAATCAATGATGTTGATGAGAGCTCCATTTGGAATGCACCCAATAATGAAAGCATCGATGATAGAAATAAAGCAATACAAAGGCGCCAATGGGCTACATAATCCACAGTCGCTACGTAGTTTCACTTGCTAAAAGCATAAGGACAAATGACTGTGCACTGCATACTGTGTCTCTCTTAAGTGTCTGTTTATTTTAGTGTGCCAGGATTTCCAGTCCAGAAGTACAACTCACATCCGGTTCAACAGATTTTGCCAAAGCAGCACCATCTGTGTTCTAAATCTTTCCAAAGGAGTAATTCAAAACTGAAGATTGGACCACTCATAAACACTTAATGAACTCTTGAGTTACAAAAACTCCCTGAGGTGGTACTAATCTGTTAATGGAATATGAAAGTATATTGACAACTTTTTAGCCATGCTAGTAATAGCATCGCCATGAAGATAGGTGAAATATCACAACAACTATTGGATGTAATGTAGTGACATTTGGTACATACATTCATACTCCCATCAGGATGAAGTAGAATAACTTTGTTGATCCTTCACCATCACTATGTCATATTTTTTCATTTGTCCAATACTAATTGCCCAAGTCTAAAGTGGTGAATATGGTAAACACTGTACCTGCTAAACATGAGCATGTCAGCATTGACAGTGTAAACATGTTGCCATGCTATTAGCATGCTAGCAAAGCACTGCTATGCCAGAGCACAGAATCACAGAGCCACTGGCATGTGTATAGACTCATAGACATAATATTGTAGAGTTATATAGAGTTTTAGGAGAAACACACAGCAGGTGTCATGAAATCATACAAATCTGTCAGGTGCACTCATAGGTTAGTTGAGAAAGATGCTACAAACATAAATAATTTCATTTTCTACAAAGCATAAAGTTATTATCCAACAATTTCCAGCTCAACATGTGTTTAAAAGCAAGACATGAAAAAAAGAAAAATCCATTGCCCACATATTCCACTATGACTAGGAGAAGTACAAAGAACCCAACAATTGGAATAAACTGGTGAACAAGCACAGGAACAACTCTGGAAAGCACTTCTAAAAAGAGAATGGTTGGAGAGGTGGAGACAGGCTGTGACCCTCAGCCACATGCTGTGTACTCCAGTCAGCTGTTCTGCAGAAAACTCCCATGGTTCATTCCTAAAGATGTCAGATCAGTGGGTGAGCCTTCTTGGCTGAGCAGCTGGGCATTTCTTTGTAAATCAAACAGCTCTTTTCCCAACTGTAGGTTTAAGATTTAAACTGAGGTGAGCAATGAACTCCAAATTGAATGCATGACACCGGAGGGAATCATAAAGTCCCTCTGAGAAATGTCAGACACAAGCGCGTGCATGGATGTCCCAGATGTCGAAACATGTTTCTATCAGCCTGTGATACATGTAAAACTTTGCTGCATATTTCAAATCTGTGTCTCTATAATAGGCACCAAAAAGAGTCATAGTGAAAGATAGTTGAGTAGCTGTATGACCTGAGCCACCAGCTGTGAATAAATTCAACCATAACATGTTAAGAGTTTCAAAAAAAACTTGGTATTAACTGTAATTTTTCTGGCAAATGAGTATGGAGGGTATTCAAATCACATGGCACACCTGCATGTACATTAAATTAGAAATAAATGCGTGTTCTATGTGTGTGAGATCAAATTTAAAATTCTGATGTATGTATTCAAATGATTATGCAATTTGTACAGTGATCATTGCAAAAAAATTGAGAGAAAGAAATCTCAGTATTTGACATTTTCTCTACATGTCAAATTTTATGGATGTGCAAATAATATCAAAATACTAAATACTTTGCAGTACGCTGTGAACAATAATTTAACATATCATAAAAATGTTGTTTTCTGGCTTTTACATGGACCACCAAAACAACATATTGTTTAAAGTATAACATGGTTATATTTTCTTACTTGGAAAGTGAAACATTAAATCTATGTGATTTTATTATGAATGTAAGCGTAATGGTTTGTAAAAAAACAAACAAAAATATACAAAAAAATAAAAATATCAGGTTTCTGATGTATAATTTCCAGTTTGACTGGACATTCAGATACAAGTTATTGTGTGTGTTAGGGTCATGCTCTTACATTACATTCTTTTTTTCTGATTTGTTAAGATTCATTTTTCTGAATGTTTCTCAAATATTTGTCAAGTATGACAAGTTATACAAAATGCTATATATTTTTTCTCGCTCTTTTTATCTTAAAGTTTATCAAAGCTAGGTGGCAAGAGGAAATGTATGACAGTTCTGGCAATAAAACTGATATTTGAACTCATATATAGTAGCTGTTTATGTATGGACCACTTATATGACATCACATTACCTCTCCATATCACATAGGGTATGGGTTTTGTGCGAATGTAAAATATAGCTATTGTGTCAAATCTTGTCTTAAGACATATAAGCAAATATTGTGTCCTCTTCTGTATGTTACAGTGTTTTAATGAGCAGATTTATGTACACTTGGTTGATGGATCGTCTTAATTGTTATTATAAATTTAATTTGAGTTCTTGATGTCTTCTTTTCTGTGCCTTTGTCATTTGGAGTATTTCAACCTGCACTCTCATGTCCTGTCTTAAAGTAACTTTAGAAAGACTTTTAGGAAGATGAGAAATCTATTTGATAAAATCATCACTTTTGACAGAAATTAATCTGATGCTAAATGTATTTTTGCAGTAAAATGACTTATCAATCTAAAAACCAGTAAGTATTTCCAGATTATGTTTCTCTCTCCTCTGTTCTTGACAAAGGTTACTCTAACTACCAATTAATACTTGTTGTACCATCCTACTGTGACATTACCAGTAGTTTTGATGTCTAGAGAATATCCTTTACTGTTTTATTTCTGTAACTCTTACTGCACATGTAGAGGTTACTGCATCAGTTATTCACTAATGTGAGTGGTGTCTAGATGCATGTAGTCTAATAAAAAACAAAAGCATTAAAACTGAGCCAGCTCCTTGGTTTTCTGTTTACAAATGAGACACTGCTTACAAATTAATGCAGGATACGATGAAACAAAACATACAGTTGATACTAATATCAAGTACAGGGTGGCCAACATGAAAAAAAAGAAGAGCATATCTGGGTTAAGATGCTTGTCAGGCTACACAAGGAAAGAAGAGTGAAATTCTGAATTCATTGCTCATTTAAATACTTGAAAACAGAAGGGAGACGGTCTGGATCTGGTGGTGTGACGGCCCTGTCGCGGCACTGTCAGGCATGTTAATGACCCATTAGTAACAGGGCACAGCAGACAGCCTGCAGCAGGAGGGAGCATTTCCTTGGAGTTATATAGTGGTGCACCTCATGCTGTAAAATGTCCACTATGGAATAAGAAGTTTTGGGTGGAGTAAGGACACACATATAGATCCAGGTTGTGATTATGTGATATTAAAGAAGGTTTGAAAGAAGATTTGAGAGACCAAATCACTCACACGAGGGATATAGTAAGCTTTAAACAAGCTTCAGAGTGCATGAACCGATTCCAAGTTGCCTTAATAAACATGTGGACTATTGATTTTCTACGAGTAGGCTGAGATGTATTGGATACAAATGACTGCTACAGAGAGCAATGAGCGTTTGTGTCTCACAGCAAAGGGTAATTACAGGGCCACGCGAAGAGAGTCCACAAGCTCACTACTTAAGTACGATTGAGAATGAGTTTGGAGTACTATCTTTTCACAGCCTGACCTTTACCTTAAGGTACCTACTTATGTAGTTTTCTTGAAAACAAACAAAATACGTTTATATTCAGTGTTTCTCAATAAACATATAATATGGATCCTGGAGGTCTACCAAATGTGTTTCCACATTTAACATTTCAAAAGCAAATTTTTAAATATTCTAAATTATTCAGTTTACAGCTACATTTGCTTGGTACTGGTCTACTTTTTTGGCCATCTTTGTTGGTGTGTTAGTCACTGTCAATAAGCAGATTTGCCTGAAATGATACAAACAAAACAGGCACCCCATTAAAGTCAGAGTCATCTTTTACACAGGAGATCTGGCCAAGACAGCACATTTAAGACACAGTATTCCCAAAATTATTCTAAACAGGCATAAACACAAACAGCTATTTAATGAGGATTCTGGTGTAAACACTGCAATGTGTATCCAACAAATGTGGAAACAGTTCAAAGTATATAGATCTCAGCATAACCCCAATTAAGAGGAATAATCTGGTGTTTTTAAAAGTCCAGTGACAATTATAGATACATTAGTCATACATTCAAGGGAGCTGAATTGATAAAAAAAAAAATGTATTAAGAAAATGTACTATTTAGGAAGTAAAATGGTGTTTTCCAGTGGCTGGGTTAGAAATAAAATGAAGTCACGAGATCAGTGATTCCCCCAGTGACACAGCACAGGATCAAAATAAAACAAAAAAACTATTTCCGTCTGCACAGCAATCCTGAATTCCTTTCGGGACTACGTGACATTAAATATAACTCCTAAGAGGAGTCTCATTGTAAAGAACTGCTGCTACTGCTGATGGGTGCAGCAAACAACAACACACTGTCACACTGTCAAAATGTCAATTATGAGGATTACTGTCTGCATAGAAACTGCTTCTCTAAGATTTCGTTTAAAACATTTTTTAATGTAAATACAAACTTTAACTCATTTTAAATTGGAAAATTAAACTTGACATCTTAAATAAAATGTAAAAAATTAACCAGTTCTAATAAAAAAAAATACATTATGTGCATGCTGTACATATTTCTGTTACTATGCACAATTTTCAAAATGAGAAAGGGCAACAAACAGTTTTTACGTATCAACTGTAAAATTCATTTCTAACCTTCAAATATGAACATGACGCCATCTCTGAATATCAGCTATATCAACACCATTCCTCCTTCTGTTAATGTCACATATCCATTTAACAGCGATTTGAACCCCAAGGTGAATATCTCTCAACCCCATTCAGTGTTCACTTTGACTTTCCACCCACCTGGGGGAGGAGGTCGAAGTGAGGGTGGAAGGTCAGGAATGGAAAGAAGATGTTGAGGTACGTCACTTTCTGTTTGGCCCTCTTCACTGTCTTCCTTATTTTTCACATCTCTGCAAAAGATAAATAATTGAACAGTTGAATTGTAAATCAGCAGGAGTAACCATTAGCCTTGCAAACCATGTATGACTAAGTGTTGAAAAAAAAAATGAACGTGCATACCCTTTGCAACCAAGGGCACTTCTCTTCTTCTCCCTTCTAGAGAGCCATTCTTCTACACTTCGCCCAGGCATCATTCTGTCCCAAGAGCCCTCTCTGTGCTGTCTTTCATCTGACAAACAAGAAAAATGTCACTCCTCTCAACATGGAGTTATTTACACAATCATTTAGATCAAATGTACCTGACAACATGTACTCTTTGCATTTGTCTACTCCCAATTCCTTGCAAGAATGATTTAGATAAGAACAATAATTATAGAAGCAGATATATGCTAATTTTAAAACTTCTGAATCACATGGTAGACAGCACCACCCTTTGGTTACAGCTTACCTTCCACCTGTCTTTTTAGGTTAATCAGCTCCTCTTCGGACATGTGAGAAAACCTGCAGTTGGGGCCAAAATCGCAAATTCCTAAAAAACAAAAGCCCAAGAAATAATGAGGATTACAAACAGGCATTTCGTATTATATCCTATAACTGTTTAGTTCAACTGTTCTGTTACCCTTTTGGAGAAACTTCCTACAGGGTTTCTTTGTTTGCTCATCATACAGAATGGCAGCAGAGTCTGCAAAAAGAAAAACAACAGTGGTCTCCATGGTTGTTAATATAATCTTCCACTGTAAACAAGTGGGCAGCCAACACAGCATAATGAAAAACGTGAGCATACTTAATTCTCCAACCATAATCACATAAATTAACATTAATTAACATCTTAAATAGTGATCCTATACATTAAAATTGTATTTTCATGTACAGGATCACTATCTATTTTGATAAGCACACATTCAGACTAAAACATCATATGTCATCTTATCTCAGGGGTAACAGAAACAAATGCAAGTCTCACCTCTAAAATGGTCAAACCAGGCCTTTTTCGCTCTGTGATGCTGAACACCATTCAGATGTTTTTTCCTGTTATGCATGTTGTCCTGAAAGGACCGGTCACAGTAGTCACAGTAGTATCTCTTCCCCATGGTACAGGTTATGTGTCCAAATAAGCACAATGTCACCTTTTAAACCACTGAAAGACCGTAAACAGAAATAAAACAATTTTAGATAACTGCTTTGTCAACACATGGTGAGTGACTAGCCTTGTTAATGCAAATAGCTCTTGTGAGAAACCATGGTATCCAGTAGTACTAAGCAAATGTTGCTCTCTGATAAATTAAAAATTGATTATCAAAAAAATATGCTACACTCTTTCCAAATAAAATTCAACCTCCTGGGTTTAGAGAAAACAGACTCTGTGTGTAAGAAAATAGAGCTGCAAGGAACAATTTTCATTAATCATTAATAAAATGTCAAAAACGCTCATCCCAATTTCCTAGAGCCCAATGTTTTATACAACAAACAATACAAAATCTAGAGATTTTTCATTTATAAATACATAAAACAGAGACAAGCATCGACAATGCATTGTCTGTCAATTGATTAATTAATTGACTAAGTCATTCATAACTTAATATGCAGCACAACATAATATACGTAATTAAGGCCTAATCCTAGTCCTAGGAATGATGTTTTGACATTTGAGACGTTTACATTCATGTCAGGGTCTCATTTGTTCATTCATTTTGCATTAATGTGTATTAATGTAAAAAGATATTTGCCCTAAAAACAGGGATTCTTGTATGGGAAGCACAAATTGGAACTACCCCAATCTCTACGATACTGGTTTGACATTCATTTGTTGCCATCTGCTGGCTTGCTGATGGAGGTGCTTCGATCAAAACAACTTGGTATGGCTTTCTGTTCCACTCTGAGGAAACTATAAGCCTCAAGTTTGAAGGTTCAGAGGTGGTTAGAAACATACTGAACATGTAAACAGGTTGCATGATGCTAGTACAAATTCTTCCCAACGTAGCAAACGTTATCATGCCTAAATATCGGTCTGTAGCGTCGGTAAATCGGCATAGTTAGCTCACATGCTTACAGTCACTCAAATGAACGTTAAAATTAAACTGCAAAGAGCACAGACCATTGGTGGAACAGTGATGTCCTCCTCTGGGATTTTTTGCTGTAAGTGGCCACTCAAAGTAAATTAAATAAGGCGAAAAAGACAATGAAATCTCGCAAGTCGTTCACATAGTGTCTTTACAGGGTCTTCATCACATTGTCTATGGTCTTCACTTCTCTCAGACCTCTTCCTGAAGCGGAAATTTGTTGCCGCGACATCCGGTCCTGCGCACACTCTTCCACCAACATGGCGCTGGCGAAGTCCGTCTACAACCTCCTCTTCAGGAGAACGTCTACTTTCGCTATAACCATCATGGTTGGAGCAGTCTTCTTTGAACGACTATTCGACCACGGCGGCGATGCCATTTTTGAGCAAATGAACCACGGGGTATGTGTGTCCGCTGTTGTTTTCGTGCTGCTCGTTTCATCCTGACCTTGTAAGCAGAGGGCGAAGCGCCGTTGATGTTAGCTAAGCTAGCTTAACGGCCTAGCTTACCGGCGTTTTATCGTCCTTAAACTGAACCCCATTTGTTGGTACAGTGTGTTTATTTGAAACTAACCTTTTTTAAAACTTGTGTTTTATTGTAGAAACTATGGAAACACATCAAACACAATTACGAGAACAAAGATGAGGAATAGGACGCGGCCCCAGGGTCATCTAAGGCTGAAGCGTAACTGTTGTCACACTTCCATCATCCATTCTTCCTGGACTTCACACCTGTATCAATCAGCAGTCAACATGGACAATGTGCTCAAAGTCATGCCCCGGCTGGCAGCGGCTACCAGAGGAGCTGTGGGAGCTGAATGACTGTCCAGACCACCATGAAGATGGAGCAATGGTTCCTGCCATCTCGTCCCCCCTACGTTATTATATGTAATGCCTTCGTTCTCCCAGATTGTAAATGGTTAAATTAAAACATGTGTTAATGTCTCACAGACCTTGCAATGTTTTTACTTATCATATCGTGTATTGCATGCATAGCTCAGTGCAGTTATTGTCAATACATATTGTTTAGATTAGTTGTGCTATGACAGATTTTTGACCATACCAGTATATTCATAGGCATAGCCACATTATGTCACATGAACCTGTGTCAAGAGCTTTCGTTTACAAATTAAACAAGTGTCTTGGTAAAGGGACATGGAAGTATTGCGTAATGCAGTTATTTCTGGTAAAACTGAACATTTGTTCACTGCGTGTTTGCAAGCCTTTTCAAAATCTGCAGTGGATGGATACTTGTGTCCTTTCAATTGAGCCACAGCTGTTTTTATAGGTTTTGATGTATCTTTTATGTCGGAACACATTTCCTGCCCACTCATTTTTAAAGTATCACTATGGGGGTAAGAAACCAGTTAAGAAACATTGTCTCTCAGCTCAGATTTTTTTGTCCAGTGCTACCGCAAAAACAGTATTTGATGATGCAAACTGTTATATACACACACATATACTTTATTCTAAAGTTGCAAATGGAAAGACAGTAATAGCAAACGCTTCAGACTGATTTTGAGACCAAAATGCCACATACCAATGTAAGAAGCACTATGCTTGTTGTTACAATGTTTATTTGAAAATCCATTTATGACAAATGATATAACTTATACGGTAATAAAAAATACAAATTGTATTTACATAGCATATTATAAAACAAGTAAATTGCAACACATTTACAAAATAGAGAGGTGCCCGAGGCTGGCAAATTTCAAAGTTACTACTTTTGCTACAGTTTATTTAATCATTGATTAAAATAAATGATGATTCTCATGTCCACACTGTACATAAGATCTCTGCAAATGGCTACCATATGTCTGCTGTATCAGCTTCAAGCACCTTTAACAAATTATTTTTAACCCAGAAAGTGAATGGCCATGAGCCTGAATTGAAGTTAGAATGTACATAAAATACAGTTTTAGCTTTCTGCATGCCATGTGAAACCATTATCACAGTGAACAATGAAGACATCCTATGTAAACCATCAGAGCAAGATCAGATGAGGCAACAGCCATTCAAATGCATTGCAAACAACTGCTTTTAAGTCTCAGGCCTTTAGATGGCACACTAGCACTTCCTGTCCTTTTGAATAATAGCAACTCTACTTTCAGCAACAATACAGCCGTAACTGGTGGCTCAGTCGTCGTGGTCACACCCTATTTTGAGCCTGAGACCACTGTAAGTACGTTATATCCCATAAAACATATATTTTTCAGTCAGAAACACTTCAATCAAGCAAAATGCACTATATTTCTGAAACACTGAATATGTAACTCTTACCAAGGAAGTGAGCCTCAACTGTAGAGTTTTACTGATTTAGGTACAACATAGAGGAATATTGCTGTTCAAACATTACGCCTGAATCCATTTTTTTTAAAAAGTGTAAACAGATGGTCTTGGCATTGTTTTGACATCATGCATAATTTTGAAAGATACAACAAAGACTGAGGAGCAATTAGGGCCTAATAGATGATGAGTGGAGCTATCTGAGATAACAGTGACCCATCTGTGGGCCCATTTGGGAGTGGTAATAATTTAATGAATGTAACACCATCCAAATGCATCCAGGAATTCAGCTTCTAGGTGACAAATGTGAATTAACATTATGGATGCATCATGTGAAAGAAAGCTTGTACTAAAACAAGAAAACATTTGCTACAAGAAGGCACATAGAGTACATGTTGAAGGATTGTTTTTGCTATATTGTTGCTGTAAATGTTTTAATCCAAATCAAACTGTAAAAATGGTATCTTTTATCCAACCCCATAGTCGAGTGAGCCACAGACTTACACCCAAGTCTGTTAAGTACTGTATTTCCGGAGTGAGCATCTTTTCACAAACTGTCCTGAATTTGGGAGCAATATCTTTCTTCATGTTGTAACCCAGGATGGAAGACTCTCCAACCGGCTGCCAGGGCAGAAAACGATTGTTCTGAATCTTTTGGGCTTCAACTGCATTTCCCCCCTCGATACAGATGGCTTTCATCTCTGCATTTCTTCTCCTCAGCTCATTGACCTCCTTTTTCATTCGTTCTCTGCCATACCTTTCTATTTTGGCCCAGAAGGTAGCATTGAAGTGCTGATAGAGTCTCCAGTCAGCCCCGTTCCACTCTAAAGCTTTGGCTCTGAACTCAGGGGTCAGTCGAGATACAGATGAACTCTTGCGAGCATTTAGCTTAAAATATATTATGTCCTCCATGGTCCAACAGAGTGTGTCCTTAAGCAGGATTAGAGACTCCTCAAAATATTCTGCTATGAGCACCAAATCAAAATGTTTTGATAAATTATGAATGTCCCTCATGACACGAGAGTCATCAGCTTCAACGTTGTTATCAAAACCCAAGTCAAAAAAGAGCAGATTCCTAAGATAGAATGAGTTGTAAGCCTCAGCGCTGTAGTAGATCTGAGGATTGTTTAGAAACTCTTCCAGTTTGTTCTCTCCATTGATCCTCCACGTGAGAGGAACTGCTCTGTGATAATAATGGAAGGACGACTCAAAGAGATCCACAGGGTCACGTAAGATGGTGATGTACATGGCATCCGGAGGCAGGAGTTTGGCGACTTCTTGGCGGTCAAAGCGCATGTGGTTACAAACAATATTGAAACACTCTCCGGGCCTGTAGTCCTTCACCTGAGAGCACATGAAAGCCGATGGGTAGAAGAAGTCATTGCGTCCATCAGGGAAGGCGAATTTAAGCTTGTGCTTTTCCCCAAATCGGAATAGGATGTTGAGTATAGTGCTACTAGCAGTTTTATGGGTCTTCATGAACATGATGTTGACAGCAGGGGAGCACTCTTCTGACTGGGATTTGGAGCGTTCAAAATGCGTGGTCACATTTTTCTTCGATAATTCTGCCATGCTGAGAGGACACGTATCTTCCTGATAGCCCCTGTTAATATAATGACATAATAAGTATATGGATAAGTAAACTGACTAATCTCACCAAAATAATGCTTTTCTTTTAAATATTTACCTGATCTTCACTTGAGCTGGGTTCGTTAAACAGTACAGCACCAACATGATGTTGGTCAATAGAGCCCACAGAATCAGCCCTCGCATTACAGGTGTGCACTTAGTTCCTTTGAGGCCAAACATGATTAAACCTTAAACAGGAACCTGAAAGTGAAATAAGAGAGCATACATGAACCGAGGAAAACATTACTAATAAGGCTGTGAAGGTTTGATACACACCAGTCTGGATTTTACATTGTAATTGTTGTGTTCGCATAGAACCAATTAGCAGCTATGTGAGGATCATAAACAGCCAAATGCCCTGCAGCAATTTATACACACAGGGCAACTAATTATACCCCCTTACCTCACTTCATCCCTCTCTACAGCAGGGTAATTATTATGTACACACAAAAAGGCCAGGCTTGATTTTAAATCATATGCAATCTATAGTATTTATCACTGCTAAAAAGAAGAGGTTAAAGAAGAGAAGAGGTTAAAAGAAGAGGTTAAACAGCAGAATAAGAAAGGAAGATATTAAGTGCAGATAATAAAGATAAGCAAAAAACTGCTGAATCATTCTTTCTGTCAAATAAAGCCCTCATGTTTACACTTTAAACATGTTTATGGTTCTTAAATTTCTCACAACAAAAAGGAATGATGGAACATTAAAGACCCAGTTTAGGTACAAGCTTCTTCTGACAGCACACTGTTCTCTTTAGGAAAAAACTAAATGAGAATGGCTAAAGATCAAAGCTGGTTTCCAGCTGTTGACACTGGACAGATGCTCACTTACACTTTATAAAAGAATCATTCCAAAGAAATTCAAATAGGTGGTTTGATACGAAAAGGTGTGTCCCTGTGCACACCTGCTCTGACCTCTTATCTTAAACACTGATAGTCGTATGTGTAGTCCCTTTGTTACATTTGAGAATACCAGTCATGTGTAAGTCTCATAGAGAAGTTGTAGCAGATAATGAAAGTTTTCGTTTCAGTTTTATTAAAGCCTACACATTTGAAAGATGTCTTCGCTTGAAATAATAGTTCTGTGCACCTATTATCCCCAATGATCAAAACAGCCAAAGTATGACTCAAGCAACAAATTAAAGAACAATACACCTGTGGAAGCAGCCCACAGTATGTGTAGAAGAAAAGAGCCTTCTTTACCTGCAGATGACAGCACTAGCAGTGTTGGGGATGAAGATTTTCTACAGGGTAAAAAGGAAACCCTCTATTGTTCAGCATGCTGCACACACTCTGAAGT